ATAGAATTAGCTGACCATCTGGGTATCAGGTTCTCTTAGATGCTTTTCATCTGCATTCTGACTTTGACATGAACTTCATTTGGATTTCTGCTTCTGCTTGGTTCTTGCTGGGAATGCATGCTCACTGGACATAAATCGTTGAGTGTGTTGGTGCACAATTGTTCACACTCTTTCTTCTGCTCTTTGAATGTTTGTAGGCTCTCCATTGAGACTCACTTTTCTTCTTGACATTGGAATTTTCTTTCTCCCGTTTTCCTTGATTAACCGGAATGTCACCTTTCTTGATATTTTGGGGCCTGGAGAGATAGTCTAGTGGTTAAGAGCACTGACTATTCTTGCAGATGACCCTGGTTCACACATGTGCATTTACATGCATACAGGCAAAGCACTCATACATATAAAAATAAATAGAAAAAGAAGGGAGTGGCAGTTTAGTTTACTCTGGGTTGTTTTTAGAGGTGTGCCAGTTCTTTATTTAAGAGCTGTCTTCTCCTTCCCTCCTCATTAATCTGTTGTCCCTTTCCAGTCATCTCTTACCGTGTCACTGCACATCTCCATACTTAGCAATGGCACAGCGGGGCACTGCTTATTTCATGTGTCTGGGCTTTTTTCTCTGCTAACTTGAGCATCTGAGGGCAGCAGTATGTTTCTGTGTCAATTGCTGTGGCCCACAGTAGACAGTCCCTCAGGTGAATTGTATGTGGGTGACCAGATGCTCATCTGAGCGGTTTTCCCGCTTGGAAAGGAAGTTGGCTGAACAGCCAGATTGCTCTGTGTTCAGGTCTTGGGTATGTGGCCTACTACAATTCCCCTAACTGCACAGAGCCTTGATGTGGTGGTCAGTTCTAATCGTCAGCTTCAACAGTCTAGAATAACCTGGGAAGTGAGTCTGACCTGGGAAGAAAGTCTCAAGGAGGGATTATCTAGATGAGGCTGGCTTGTGGGCCTGTCGGGGGAGGGGGGATTGTTTTGGTTGCATTAAGTGAGATAGGAAGATCCCACCCATTGTGGGCAGCATCATTTCCAGAGGATTCTGAACTAAGACCAGAGAGGTGGGCTGAGCACAAGCATGATGCATTCATTCAGTGCTTTCTGCTCTGGACTCTGGATGGAACCAGCTGTGCCAAGTTCCCGTGATCTTGACTTCCCCACAGTGGCGGACAGCAACCTGGAACTGTGAGCCAAATAGACCTTTCTCCCTGAAGTTGCTTTTGCCAGGGTGTTTTATCACAACAAGAAAGGAATCCTGGACACCTGTGCAATAACACCTTCTGTTTTACAGGCATGATACACAGATCACTTAGTTTAGCGTTTTCCACATGCAGGGGCTCAGTACAGGGCAGCCATCTAAAGACTTCTCATTTTAGCTTGAAACAGCAGCTGGACTATGCTTAAGAAATAAATATTTGTTCTGTTTTTAGTTCCTGGCTCATTACCACTTTCTGCAGTACTCTTCTGTCTGGGTGGGGACCAAGTAGTGCTCTGAACGTCTCCAGGCAGGACAGTGCTATGCTTCCTACTACTCAGACTGAACAAAAGCGTGAACACCCTGTGCCTTTTGCCTGTCAGCCTGCTTTATGGTTTTATTAAAATATTCTAGTTCTACCAGGCTGAGGCAGCTTTTTATTTCTTTTAATCATTAGGAGGCAAGGCAGTAATACTCAATTTCACAAAACCTTTTCTGTGCTTGATTTTCATAACTCAGATATTTCCCACAATTATATCTCTGTCTTTGGTTCTCTACAGAGTAAAGAAACAGCCAATTCCAGGAAAATAGAAACACAGGCTATTTCTTCTGTGTCCCCTGGAGCTTGACAGTTATCTCTGTACACTTTTTCTCCATCCCTGGGTGATTTCTCCTACAGCTCTCTCTGTAGGTGGTTTTTAAGTTTATTTTAAAAAGCAAAAAATCCAGTGTGATGTTCGTTAGTGCTTCAGGATCCTGGCTTCTCAGGGCCACGTGAAAGTGTACATACTTCCTTGGACACCATGCCTGTGATGGGAGCTTGCCTGCTGGGTTGGACACCGTGCCTGTAATGGGAGCTTGCCTGCTGGGTGGTGGCTTGGCTAACTTGATCATGTCCAGTTTTATCTTACATCCTTGCACTCAACATTAACCAAGGCCACATGTCAGCTAGAGAGAATTTACAGAAGGCATGTTGGATGTGTGGCAGCAGGTCTCACCTGCTCATCATGGGTGTGAGTCCCAGAACCTGTCAGATATGTTCACAAGAAACCAGCAGCTCTCTGGAGGTAGTGGGGCTGATGGGGCTGGGAAGAGAGCTCAGGGTTTCAGTGAGGCCAAAATATGACCCTTGAATGTTAGAACAGCTGTCTCACCAAGCACTTCATAAGGAAAGAAGGGGTCTGGGCTGACCTCTGTGGTGTGGAGGAGGTGTGTTTATGTGGGTAGAAGGTCACGAAGGTATTTCTGCCAGTACAGGCACATGGGCATGCAGATAGTGTGAAGGAACAGTGAGCTGACGTGGGACTGAGCGCTTGAGTAGGCATTGCTCCAAGGAAGATACTCAATAGGTTGATAAGCACAGGAGAAGGGCCATCACGCAAAGACAGCATAAGCCACAGTGAGATGCCACTTCACCCCAGTAGGATGGCTATTAACACAAAAGTGGAAAATGAATATCAGTGAGAGAAACCAGAGCATTGTGGATGTGGGCTAAGTGAAATAAGCCAGTTACAGAAGAGATTACCCAGGGCTCCTAGAATAGCCAAGCACATAGAGACAGAACGCAAGAAGGGGGCGGGGGCGGGGCAGGGCAGGGGTGCACAGGACTGGGGAGGTGGTGTGCGGCTCCTAGGTGACCCTTTCTATGACACCGGGCCCATGGGAGCAGTTTCCTTCATCTTAAAAAGCTCCATAGCTGTAGCTGCCTCACTGCAGAGAAGTAGGTCAGCAGAAGCAGACACAGCAGGCCGAATGCGCCTCACTGGGTGACTGGGAGCCAAGCTGGGGCAGGAGGGGCAGGCCGATACCTCCCCCGGTCTCTTGGAAACTGGCTTTCCTTTGTGCCATCCAGTGCCTAACTCACACACAGAACCCAACTTCTGCTCTCATTCCTGCCTGGGGAGAGTGCTTTGAAGAAGCTGAGCAGTGCCGGATGTGGTGGGAGGTGCATCCGTTTTTCTTTGCCATCGAATGGACATGTCCTGGGGATGTTACTGGGCCCGCATCTCATTGTTCACCTCCTTGGACCTCCTGGGCACTGTCCGGTTATGTCCTGGCCTGCTACTTGTGCTTTTGGTGTTAGGCCTGGGAAACAGAAGATTTACCCCTATGCTTTCCTCTAAGACTTCTGTCTACATTGAAATTTTTAGCTACTTAAAACAAAATTATGTGTTTATCTGTATGTGGGTATATGCACGTGAGTATAGATGCACACAGAATCCAGAAGAGGGCATCAGATCCCCTGGCTGGAATTACAGGTGGCTGCAAGCTGCGACCTGGGCGAGTGGAAACAAACACAGGTCCTCTGCAGGAGCAGTGAGCGCTCTTAAGTGCCGATGATCCGCCTCTCCAGCTTCTGTCCACAGAGTTTGAATGAGAAGGGCTGTGTAGTAAATATTTCAGACTTGGACAACCACATGGAGTTTCTGCTGTGGAGCCTTGTTTCTGTTTTGTTTTGACTTACCACCTTTAAAAATTGTGAAAACAGTTCTTAGCTCCCAGTCCTACAGAATCGGGTGGTGGCTAGATTTGGCCCTTGGGCCACTGTTGCCGACACCAGTGTGAGGACACTGCTCTGGAAGTTTCCATGTTTTAGTCAGGAGCTAGCTGGGCTGGGATTTCTGGTTGCCATGGCTACTCTCTGTGCCACACAGGCTCTGGATCCCTGCAGAGTAGCTTTGTCCTGGGAGTGGAGGTGGCTGGGGGTGCCAGCTTTTCCATAATGCATGTGTCCTCACTCCCCGGGGCTTCCCCAGGGGCACAGGTGGGCTTGTCTGTAGCCTCCTGAGGTGCTTCCAGGCTGATGTCGGGGATATTTGGGGCTTACAGTCTTGTCCTCCAGTCTCGGGTAGATGTGGTACATATGGGTTTTGCCTGGGACTCTCTCAGAATTCCTGCCTCTTACACTGTAGCCAGTCATCAGCCTGTGCTATTGTGGGTGCTGTGCACCAGGGTGCTTTCTTCAGACCCAGCATCACTGGACCTCCAAGGCGATGATGGTGTGGAGCCCTGCCTAACCATACCTGAGAATGGAGTTCTGCCTGTCGGCATCTTGTCTGTGTGCCTATTATCTCCCCAGCGCCCTTGGTCTGGGCCACTGTCCCCCAGCACACTAAGATTTCTCTTTACAGGAAAGGAGGGTTGGAGATGGCCTGAGTAGGCTAGGGCTGCAGTTTCACTGCCTCACTGCCTCTGTGTGGTGGCTGATGGCCTCCTCCAAGCCTGCGCCATCAAGAGAAGCTGGGTCTGCTCTGTAAGAGCCTAGGGGCGTGGAGAGTGTGTTTCCTCATTCCAGCCCTGCTCGGCTTTGGCAGTGTCGACTACCTTTGCAGTGATGCCTCCCTACCCATCTGGGTGGTGACTGTTGCCTCTCCATCCTGTGCCCTGCTGCTGACTGGGACACCACACCTGTCCCTCCCCACTGGCCCTCTGCTGCACTTCCTGTGACCTACTGAGGGGGGCTTTCACTCACTGTCACTTGGGGGTAGAGCTTACCTATCACTTCCTCCCTGGAGCCAGCTCTTCCCCATGGCCACTGCCTTACTGAGGTTCATTCAGTGTGGTTTTCTCTATCAAATTCTGTATCTAAACAGAATGCACTTAGAATCCCTTCCACGTGCATGTACAGGCTGAGGACTGGGCGGACTTTGGGTGCCACAGGAACTTTGGGTAACACCAGGAGCTGGGTCTGAGCCAGGGTGAGAGTAGTTTGATCCCCTCACATGGGAGGGCCAAGACTCTTCCGCCTGCCTCCTGGAGTGGTGCCCACAGGTACTCTTGGGGTACTAACTCGTTGCTTATTACAACTTTTTAGACTCTCGAAGCTATCTTGAACTTCAAGTACTCTGGAGGCCCAGGCCAGGTGGACGGATATTACAGGAACCTGGCTCTGGGACTGCACGTGGAAGTGGAGCCCTCCGTATTTTTCACTCGAGTTAGCACGCTCCCTGCAACCAGGTAAGCGGACACGGTGTCCCTGAGTTTGTCATTTCTATCCTCTGTACCTAAGAGCCAGCACCTTGCCAGAAGGCATGGATCTACAGGGCAGCATGTGGAACGGGCTGTCCTGGAGGTGGTGTGGAATGGGCTGGCCGGAATGCTGTGCTGGCAGTCCCTGTGGGTGACCCCCCATGCAGGTATTTTTTCTGTGCATGTTGGATGTCCCTGAGGAGCCCCACCTTGCTCTCTGTGTTGCTCCTGTGTCTTCTGAGATGAAGGCCGTGCTTGCGGGCCCACTGTCCAGCATCACAAGGATCTTCCAGCGTGGTACAGTGTCAGGTCGTTTTGCACAGGGCTTGTGCCCCACACAGTGCCTCTCTATGCTACTGACTCCTCCAGGCCTGACCTTCCTCCTGGGAAAGGGACAGGGTTTGTCAACTTCAGAGCTGTGCAGTGAGCAAAGCTGTTGGCTTGCTCTCACACACAAGGTGACAATTCTCATCCTACTCTTAGGCTGTGGAGACATGAGTCCAGGGCTGTGCGGGAGCCCTGGGTATAGCCCCAGCTCACTGGAGACCCCGGCAGCTCAGAGCGCTGCCCAGACATGTACAGCCTCTGGGGGTGAGGCCAATCTCCACTGACTTCTACCAGTTTCCCAGGCCCAGCCTGGCACATTGGCAGTGATGGCGGGCCTTGTGTAAATGGCAGTCAAGAATGAGATTTGCCCCTCTGCCTTTGGAAATCACAGGCAGTGCTCCAGCCTGTGCTCCCTCTTATTCCCTACTGTGAAACAGAGGTGTCATGTCCATCATAACATTGACATAAAAGTCCATTTAAAATGCTGTAGCCCGCTTTCCTCACAGCCGTCAGAGAATGTCTTCAGCAAGGATTGACGGCTCACAGGACCTTCTGGCATCCAGCTCTTTCAAAGTTGTCACTAATCAAGTGTCTTCTGTTTTGAGTTTGGGCAAAGCATACTTGCCCTGGGACAGATTCAGCTGGTTTGCTGACTGACAAAGCTGTCAGGGTGTACCAGGCCCGTCCTCACTTCACATCTGTTTTATCCTGTCTCCCTCCTCTCCTTAGCCATACTTCTTGGAAGAGCCACAGGTTGTTGCTGAACTCTCCTCTCTCCCCTGTTGGTATCCGGCTCCCACCCCACAACCCTTGCATTTCTAAATGACAGTCACTTTCAGCCGAAGCAGATTTGGAGGAGTTGGCCTTCGCTGAAGTGCTGCTGCGGTCCCGCGCCCAGCCTGTGGTCTTCACGGGCTCTCTTTTGGCCCGTGTGTCTGTGTCTCAAGGTCTTGAGTTTGTGAGTTCACTTCTCCTCTTCCTTTTTCCTCATCCCTAAATCTAACGGATCACCACATCCTGGAGGGCGGAGACTGCTTTCTCTAGTTCCCTCAAGAAAGCACACTCCAGGCTCCAGGGAGCACTGCTCTTTAGAAATATGTTGGGGATCACAAAGAAAGAGGCTACCCTATTCCAAGTAGAGCATCTCAGCAAGGTGAAACTTTACTTCCAACCAGAACGGTCCATGACTCACCAAAGAAATATGAAGCAGACACTCGGGGTAAGAAAGAGTAAGTTTTTATCCTGACTCCTAACTCCCGAGTACTGTGTCTTTTCCCTGTTGGTTGGGGCCTGACTTCACAGTCTTTCCTGGTTGGCTACTTTAAAAGAACCCAAAGGAAATGAAGGGGAAGGGGCAGAAGGTTAACCAAAGAGGGGGAGCTCAGTTTCCGCAGGCCGTCAGGGTCTGGGAACGCATCAGGACTTTTTCTTAACCCAAAGTTTTACAGAGTGTGTTGGAGATGAAAAGATTAGAATTCCTTGTCCTAAACCGAAAGTTGTACAGGGTGGGGAGGGGGCAATGAGCACGTTTGAATTCTTTGTCATAAAGAAAAGTTTCACAGTGGTTAAAAGAAAAGGCCAACTACTACACTGTTTACTGTTTCCTCTTCTGTGCTGTGCGTCAAGCCAGCAAGCACGGCCAGGGCCTCGTGAGGCCTCTCTGGGGAGAGAGGTGGACAGAGGAAGAACTTGCTTTTCAGCAGCCTGATGGGAACACAAAATTAACATGAAACGGAAACATGAAGCTTCAGGTGGGAGCAATGAGCTGACAGAACAGTAAATACGTGAATGAAGATCACCTCTCCTTCATTTACTCCTCCCGGAAGAACCAACAGCCATCTGTAGCGTGTAACATAAAAGAGAAACAGAGTCTCGCAAGCAGTGGGGCATTTGTATGTAAAGCCCCCAGCGTTAGAGATTCTAGAGCAACAGCCGAAGTTGTGGATAATGCTCCGGAAGATGTAAAGTGGGATATTTGGGCTTAATTCAACCAAAGAAAAGTACTATCAAAAAGGCAGGAGAAATGAGCAGGGCCACGTGGTTGGAAAGCAAACAGGTCCCACAGACTCACACGTGCTGTGTGCAGAGCTGCCCTGCGTGCAGGCACACACACAGCACAGTGAGATGGTCAGACTGTGTAAGGTAGTAAGATGTCGGTCAAATGTTTCTTACAAGAAACTTGTGCCAAATGTGCATACTGTACGTAAACACCAATATTTAGCAGGTCGGTGTGGGCATATTAAAATTAAACAAGTGAATGTTTATAATGATAAGAAGAGTCAAGTCATCAACTGCACCCAGCAGAAGAAAGGCAGGAGAAACGAGCAGGCCATGTGGTTCAGAAGCAAGCAGGCCCCACAGACTCACACCTCACTGAATAAAAATACTTAAAAACATAATTTCAAAATAAAACCGACACACTAAAGGGAGAAGCGGGTAACCACACGTCATCGCCGGTTACTTCTGCCTTGTTCCCTGAGTATTTGATAATACAATGAGACAAAAACGAAACAAAAGCCCACAGGAAAACCTAGGTATTTCCATTAACCAACTCCACTAATTCTATTTAAAGGAGAGTAATGCTTCTATTAGAAGAAATGAACGATTTAAAGTCAGTGACATGGCTTCTGCATTAAAGAGCAGAACAGACCCGCAGCACTCAGAAGGAAGAATGCATCCCTTAATACAGCAGAACTTGAGAAGAATTTATGGAGTGAAATGAAAAGCTGTAATAAATAATAGTAAAATCAGTAAAATTAATTATAGCAGAGGCAATGCGAAAGAAAAGGGAACACAAATTGCCTGTGGGGGGAGGAACCAAAGAGGGGCGTGGCTGTGGCTTCTGTGTGTCTTGTACACCAGAAACAATGAGCGGATGCGGTGGAAAGTCATGTGGATCAATGTCTTGAAGGAGCGAAGATGAACGAGCACTAAAACTGACTCCAGAAGAAGTTGAGCACACGATTGGACACGTGTTAAAGAGCTTGAGTTTTCCATCGGAAACCCCCATGAAGATGTTCTTAGGCCCAGAACACTTCACCAGGGAACTATTTCAAACTTTTAAGAAGGAAAGCCCTTTCAGAAAGGCAGGGAGAAATTCCTCCTGACCCCAACTCACCTGCTGTTACCCTCCAGAGCAACATATCACAGACCAGCCTCATGTTCAAATGTTAAATATGCAAACAAAATACAAGTCAATTTCAGCCATGTATCAAGGCCGTGATAGAGAATTAACAGTTTAAGTATAACTTACATATATTTTTTTAACCATGGGGAAAAAATCAGTCATCGGAATTTGCTATATTAGCAAAACAAAAGAGAAAAACCATGTGAGTTGAGGAAGAGCATCCTTGAACACAGTCCAACCCATGCTTAGCTAGGAACACTCTACAAACTAGGGTTTAAAAACTCCTCAGCTAGGGAATAACGATAGGATGGGTTTCATGGGGGTGGGGAATGGGAGGTAACAGCAGAAGAGGAGTGAGAGGAGGCTTAACGAACTTTAAAAGTCTTTTGCAAGAGCCACATGGAAACTTGCTGTGGAAGATTCTTTGAATATACACATATGCAGTATGAAAAGAGTTTAAATGGAGTTACTCTTTAACAGAGGTGGGGTGGCCCTAACAGACACCGCTGGTTAGCTAATGGAAGGCCCAGTGCGGGAATGGACTCCCTCAAACAATCCTGGCTGTTGCCACTGTACTTGGTTCCCACCAGAACTTGATCCTGAAACCCTGTTTCTGAAGATACTACATACCTGAGTCGCAGAACAAACAAGGAGGAATCAAGCCAGCAGTGACCTTGCAGCTTCATCTCTCCTGACTAGTTTTACCAAACTAGAAGGTGCTCTGCATGTTACTGACAGAGAAGAACAATCACAGCCTTACCCAGCTATGAATCCTGTGAGCTACAGTAACAACTGGCTCGGCAAAATATGCCCACTGGTGCAATAGTGGCATGAATGTCATAGGACTAACCCACTACCTTCTAACTGGATTTAAAGCCTGCTTCACAAAAGATGGAGTCCATACCTCATACTGTTATCAGGGCCAAGAACCTGTAGCTGGACAGGTCACAGGCCATGGGGAAGACCCTCCCGCCATCATTCTGTTAAATAGGCATAATAGTAAACTGACTCCTAATGACTTAGTGTTACACTCCTGGGTTAGTGCATCTGCCAGCTTTTACCGACAAGGCTCTTCTTGCAGCAGATGGCAGTAAGTAACACAGAGACGTACCACTGGTCATTGTGCAGAGCATAAGAGACTCCAGAATGCTCAACTCTAAATGGGACATCTGTATCACACCTTCTCCTCACAGGGTTCTGGGATCACTGCACAAGTGGGGAGTGGAGATATTGCAAGAGCCAGAGCTGGCAGGTGGATACAAGGAAACTGTAGTCTGGACACCACAGGGTAGGTGCACATATGTGCCCACAACACTTAGGACAACATACATAACACCTGTGCAAACCCGAGACAGACAGGGGCCCAGCATGGATGGGGAGGTAGGCAGGAAGCCCCAGTCCTGGCTGAGGCAGTACTAGCAATTGATAGATGCTGGGAGAGGGAGAGAAAGAGGGAGGGAGAGAGAGGGAGAGGGAGAGCCAATTTCCCTTATTGCTGTGATGCGTAGTAGGTTGACCATATTTGAAGTGATAG